AGTTATACAAATATACATCCCAACAATTTCAGTTTTATCATATTTAACATCAAATCGACAATGTTTTCTATCTGTTAGCTTTAATAAATTAGTCCAGGACATTCCACCATAAAAATTATCTATTAAAATTGCAATATCACGATTATAATCAAACTCATCATTATTATATTTTTCCCATTGTTTCATATCATCTCTTTCGTAACATCCAGGAAATAATTCTGAAAAAAAATCACTTTTTCCAGTTCCATTATCTCCATATACATAAAAAACACATGGCTCCCAATATCTGTTAATATTTCTAAGAGGATTTATAATTTTTTTCTTTTGTGATTTTGCAATATCACGTAAACCATTTATTGTATGTCCCTATTTTTCACAATTTTCAGATAAATCAACGATAACTTCATCTACATCTTCTCCTTTTAGAACTTTAACAATTGCTTCTTTATAAAAATTTGGTTTTTCTTTTTCAAATTTAGATTCATCAAAAATAAATAAAAATGGTCCTGCTATTGTCGAATCTTTGTCAATACGTGCGAAAGGTCTTTCACAATTTTCATTACAATATGAGCATAATTTTGAAAGATCTTTAAAATCACATTTACATTTTAATCCTTTTTTAGGATTAGGATTATGTTCTGGAAGTTTGCATCTATCATAATCTTTTGATGTATAAGCTAAACATTCTTCATCTGTACCATTAGCAAACTCAAAATGAACATTTGCTTCAAAAATCATCTTTAATCCTGAACCTTTTTTTGTTTCTGAATTGTATTCCCCTACACGTTGTTGAGTTCCTTCTCTTAATTTAGCAAATCCTTGTGCATGATATCTTCCTGGTTCTGATGCATTATGGTTTTGCTCAAATTGAAATTGTAATATTTTAAATGGACAAGTTTTTTTATTAAAGATTTTTTTAACATGATCATGAAAAGTTTCAAGTTTTTCATATAAAGTAAAATTAAATTTTCTAAATCGTGTATCAGGGTTTATAGATTTTTTAGAAGATTTTTTAGATATGTTTATTAAAGACATTTTTTAAATTTACATAATTAAATTTCTAATAGGTATCAAAGATACTTATTAGATAAAAAATTTGTAACGATGAAAATTGATGATAACTCGAAATTTTATTAGAGAAATGTACAAAGTCGTTCTATGAAACTTAAGTTGTTTTTGTGAGATTGACATCTTTTGTTATTGCGCAGAAGTCGATTATCATAGCAAAATTTTGTGTAAATTGTAAAAAATGACGTTTCGCAGCATTTTTTTAAATGATCTGCAAAGATAATATCAAAATTGTCTTCATCAAAATTCAGCATCATTTCACGAATTTTAATCCGTTTAACCTGAAATTTTATATGTATGCTCTTCAACCTCATCTGAACCAACTTGCTTAATAACACTTTGGTTGTTATCTTAGACCAAAGTATCGAAATTAATGAATTTCTTTTTTATTATTAATAAAAAATAAAATTTATACTCGTTTACAAACAAAAAAAATTGATAACTTAACGAATACTTATCTATTTGACTTCAAACTTTACCAGAAAAATTTTATGATGTTGCTCTAATAGCCTGTGAAATTTGAATACAAGTTAATATGTAGAATCCTTCATCAGAGCTGTGAACCTAGAATTTTTCATCAAAATGATAGAAGAAAAAAAATACTTAAACGTAAATCTTGAATATCTCCACGAGTTTTCATCCAATCTTTCTGAAATTTGAGATGTAAGCTGTTGAATACCATGGCTTCAAGTTTACTTAGAACCGTTTTTGTTGTTTCATTTGAAGAAATAGGAGAATTTTTAAGTCAAACTTTCTCTACGTCCAGAAAAAAAATTTGTATCACGTTTTTGAGAGTAAAATTATCATAACTTCTTATAAAAAACTTCGTTTGACTTGAAAACAGAGATTATAACGTAAAATGATCGTGGCAACATTTTTTGTTAATACCATTTTGTAGGTTTGCTATTGAGAATTACTGTCCGAAATCGATTTTTTATTAAAAAGTATTGTATATATCTAAAAAATATTAAAAAAATAGAAACAAAAATCAATAATCTCCTATTTTTTTTGTTGAATAATTAACTAGAAAGTTAATTATTCATACTGTGCCCTTATTTAGAGAATTTACTCCTAAAGGTGATTATTCAAAATCTAGCACTGAGTTTTTGTAAGAGTTAACTTGAAGGAAAATCAATTCTATATATACTTTTTTGAGTGTCAAATGAATTAGACAGTCAATTGAGTGCGTCATCTCGTTTGACCTATTTTGACTCTCCTTTGTCTGAGTGCGTCATTCATTTGACTGAGTTTTTTGTCTAATTGTCACATGTTGTCTCAGGCACTCAACTATATAATAAATTTTTTTTTCAAAAAAAAATCTCATTTGACGAGTCAAGGGTGCGTCATCTCATTTGACTTTTTTAATTTTTAATTATTTTTAATATAACATATTATAAACTTGAGTTAATCGTATAGAGTGGTAATACTGAAAATAATCAGAAAAAAGTATTTGAATATCAAACAAGAATAGATATGAAAAAAAAAGAACAATAAGAGCTAAAGTAGTAGCTATTAAAGTTCTAGAAAATAATAAGAAACACAAAGAAAGATTACTTAGATAGTTGATAGGAAAAAATATTTATCTAAAAAAAATTTTAGAAAAGTTTGAATATAGTAACCTCTGATACATAGTAACCTTTGACTATATTAAAGGCTATGAAGAAGTAAAGAAAAAACTAGCGAATAAGAAAGAAGAATATAAACAAGCTAATTTATTGCTAGAAGAAAATGAAGAACAAGAAGAATCTAAGGAAATAATAAAAAGCCAAGATATAAAAAACTTAGCTTAAGTAAAAACTATAACAAAAACTCTTCCTGTCGATCCTCTAACTACTTTTTTTCGAAAAGAAAACTTGACTTGCGAAAACACTTTTCTATTATACAGATAACAATATTCTTTTCTAAGTATTCTATAATATATTGTGGGCGAATACCTTCCTTGCAAGCTCTTTTTAGCCGTATTATCTAGAAGTAATTCTTGGGTACTATCGAAAAAGTAGTAGCAGAAACAAGAAAAATTGTCAAATATCTCTGTTATTTCAAGTGACGCTCACTAGTAGTTTGCTAGTACAGAGATAGCTAGATATAACATATATTTGTACTGTTTAATAAGAAAACAAGTAGCAAAATCTTACTCTCTTAGAAG